ATATTTTTACATTTTGCAAACAAAATTAAAATAGACATTTCTGAACTTTTTGACTTACATTATGTTTACGCCAAGTTTCTAAAATGAGCGGTCTTTCTTTTTTATGAACAACGCTTTCTTGCATGTCTTCTAGAGTAGGATGGAGACCGACCTCATCCTCAAATGGTAATCGATATTCTCCTATTGGTCCCTAATATTAAAATAAACAATTAACACTTCGACATTAACTTACACAACATTGTGAATATGATTATTTTCACTATATTATTAAATATATAGAAAATAATACCCAGAATTCATCTCGTTATTATTTTATGTATAATCGCATCTTTGTTATAATTCTTCAAAATAAATTTTGGCATAGTTTATAATCAATTTTCTTCCAATTTTCTTGATATAATTCAGATCTAACAAATTCACAGATTTAGATAAATTCAATTTTTTTAATATCAAGATGCAGATTATCTGGGTAATACTGATGTTCAAATAGAGAGATCGGATAATCAAAGGGAATCGGAAATCTAATTATTTCTCCGATATCCATATTTACAGCTCTATAAAGCTTATAAAGCTTTATAGCTTGCAATTTACATACATAGTAAAAATACATAATTTCTGTAAGACATATTACGTACATCTTGTACAGTACATCTTGAAGCTAATTCCCATAGAACTAATCCACAGGCATACATGTCAATTCGTAAAAATGAATCTCTAGTAAAATTTATTGCTCCTTCTAAAACTTCTGGTGCCATATATCTCCGTGTTCCAACCTATAAATAAAAGTTGTTTTTATATCATGATAAAAAGCATGACGAGATATATATGCATACCTGTCCATGTGTATCGCCACAAGGTTTTCCTGGATGAAAAATAAGTGCCAAGCCAAAATCTGCTATACAGGCACTCATGTCAGCCTTTAATAAAACATTTTTTGACTTAAAATCTCTATGAGCTACAGCTGGTTTATAACCATCTGCTTTGTTAGCTGGAATTTCCTCATGTAGATGCATTAAACCTCTGTAATAATGTTTTATTAAAAATTAAATAAAAATTGATAACTTAAATAACTTAAAAATATGTTCTATTTAATCACGTGATCTTTTTTTTCATCCCTACTACATAATTATTTCTATAATTGTTACCTTGCCATTGATTCTGCAATTCTACACATCTCAGGCCATGTTACAATATTTGCTTTTAGATAATCACACAATGAACCTTTTTCATGATACGCTGTGATTAACCAAAACTCAGCTTGTAAATTATCCCCACGTTTTTCAACGCCTATAAAGTGTAATATATCCTCGTGATCCATATGTGCAAGTTTAAAGATCTCTTGTTCAGTCTGCCATGATTGCTTATCCTGAATTGGAAAAACTTTAACTGCCACAATCTCGTTTTTGAATTGGGCTTTCCAAACTGCTCCGAAACGACCTCGAGCTTTAATTTCAAGAAGTTGTATCGGTCGTAAGCCTAAATTAGGCGAAGGTTGTGGCAATGGTACAGGCTCCAATGTTGGTATCTAAAAAATTTACATTAACCTCATAAATTAAATAATATTATATAATTGCAAATTTATAACAATTCTGTTTTGTAATATTATGTAACAATTTCGAAATATAACCTCATTGAAATAGCCCAATTTTCGACGACGATAAAGACACCAAAACGAAAATGAACTAATGGTAAGAAGCATAGGAATTGCTATTAATAGGGCAAGTGTTATTGCTTGCTGCTTTGCACTAGGCACAGGTTCAAACTCTGAAAAGTTAATTATTTAAATATTATTACAAGAGTATTGTAAGAGATATATTTATATTTGAGAAAAATAGACATTGCATAATTAAAATACCATGAATAACAGATGGTTCCGTAGGTTCAGAAGTTGGTTGTGGAACCCAAGAGAAATTTTGGTTACACATATTACCTTCACAACAACAAAAAAAGAGTTCATTTTTTCTTTTCATACTATTCTCTACACAAAATGGTTTACCATAACAGTCATTGTTATCTAAAAAGCAACCCTGGAAATAAAATAGAAAGCTATATAAAAAAATGTGTTCAGTATAACAAGAAAAGAATATATTATTAATTTCTTAAAAAAACAATGTAAAATGAAAAAAAATTCTAGTAAATCTAGTAAGTATCATCTCAAAACCTTACATTTGGTAAAAGACAACATCATAAATTATTTAAATTATAAAATTGATATAACAAAATAATTTAAAGAAAATGCAAAACTTCTCAAAATATATTTACATTAAATTTTTAATATATATATATATA